ACTATGAATTTTCTTAGATCACACAAAAATAACCAAAATACTAAAGATATTCTTATTGTAATACAGATGCATTTAATAAGTTATTCCATGACTTTGATTCAGGAATTCCAGTGACTGACACTGCAGCTCGTATGCTGCAAATGTCATACATTCTGTCATCAATTTTATCTGATGATGAAAAACAAAAGGATATGGATCGAATTTTGGGTAAATTGAAAAATAACTGGAAATTGTTTATGAGGCGTAGAGATCGAAGAGGATTCGTAGGAATGTCACCTTCAAACCCTTCCAATGTACAAGTAGCAATAGAATCAAAGGCGAGTAATATAGCTAGTAATACTGCTAACTCTTCGGATGGACTGCTCACCACTACCAGTCCCGCTTCATATATTGTATAATACCTTTTGTTAATGTTTGTTTCGTTTATTGTAATATGTATATAAATTATTTTTTTTGTATTATAAACCTTTATAATTAGATTTTTATAATGTGTATTGCAAAAAAAATGAAGTATACAACTCTATTTATGTGATATTTATAAATTGTGATCCATCTTTTTTGTTTTACACATCAGAAAATGTTTTAGGTGACATAATTTAATAGATTGATACGTGGTATATTGATTAATTGATTATATTACTAATAACATACATCAATTTGTTTTATGATTAACTACTAATGATTATTATTAAAATTGCAATTTTAGATACATATTGTAACAGTTTAAAGTAAAAAATAAAACTATAAAGAATAAAATATATATATATATATAGTTTTTTTTTTATTTCTATGGTGTGAATGGCCTAGTCGCATCAAATTTTTATAATAGTGCTGAACATTTTGTTAATCTTTAAAATTAAATTTAATTGGTTAAATTTTTTATGTTAATTTTTTTTATACTAATGCTGAAATTTTAAAGTTATATTTTTATAAATTAGAATATCTTTAATAAAAGTTTTAAAAGACTTTAAATTATAAATAGTTAATATTTGGTTAAGCCAAGCAAGTATATTACAGTTTTAACGATGATAACATAACCCAAAACTATTATTTTATGTGATTTTTAATACCTTTCTTCTTAAAATTTTCTTCTTTTTGCTATCTATCATCTATACAGGATAGCCTCTTTCTTATTTTATCTATTTCTTTTTATCTTCTTTAAATTTTTATTAGCTTTATTATTCTCTTTCTTGTAAAAATAATATATTTAATATATTTTGGGTTGTTATACCTAATTCTAAAAAGAGAAGACTAGAATTATAACCTCAACAACATATAACCTATCTTGCTTCTAGAAATGTTTAGAAAAACAGTAGTATGAGCAGTGTTGTACACAGACACTGTCCGCGCATATTATTTGGATACGGACATTTATGGATACTGTTCAATGTCTATATCCATAACATGTTCAAAAATGTAAATTGTCATCAGATATTGTCTGCAGGTTTATAGTGAACACTGGACATCCGGCAGACATTGTCCGCCTAAAATTGTCCAATATCTAAACACTTGACTAGTCAATCATTTATATTGGTAAATGTAGATCTATCGCTATACACTTTTTTTTTATAATTAATTATTTTTATTTATTCTTTCTTTTAATTTATTATTATTTTTTTTTTACAATAAGTTTGTTTAATTATAGATAAGCGAATTTGTAATAGTTATAGTCTGGGTAGTTAGGTAAGCGAAATTACTGAAAAAGTATAACTAGTATATTAGTTTCTTACCTGGCCAATACATCAGTTATACTTTTTCCAGTAATTTTCACTTATATTTAACTACCCAGAGTATATTGATTTATTCTCTGCTATTTATGTAATATAAACTTTCTTGTATTTATAATAAATCAAAACCTTTACACATTACCTTTAACATTAAAGATTGAATGTTTAATCTATTCAACGAACCCCTCACGAACAAATCATTAAGCTAAAGCAGCACTAAATCCATTTACACCACCTGTTATAATTACAACATTATCTTTAATTTGCATTGCTAATTCAAGCTTTTGATTATGGAAGCAAAAGGTTCAATGTGATTGTTATTAATATAAGAAATATAAGCATCAAAAAATATAGTTATTAAACACATAAAAAAATGTAGCTATTGATTGTAAATTAGTAAGAAAAGAAATTTTTTTTAAATTTAATAAATTTCATTTTCCTTGCATAAAATTACTAATTGTTATAACAAACCACTATAAGTCAAGTAAAGCACTGCGAATTGGTATAATGTTTACTAATATGGATGTTCGTTCAGCTCAAAAAAAGCTACTCTGTTGAAACTTCTTCGCCTTATAAATAATTGTGCTATTTTTTTATTTAAGCGAAATAATTATAACTAGCGCTTTATTTATCTTTCAATCTAATAATCAGTATATAGAAAACTCTAAATGCCTATAATTAAACAATACTTGATCACCTAGATTAAATAAATATATATATAGTATAAATAAATATATAAAAGAAATTATGTGGAAAGGATTAACTAGAAGATGAAATATAGTACTTACCAGAAGCTTCAAAGAATCAATAATAATGTTG